AAAAAAAGTAAATGGTTCGCTGAGATACTGGCTCGACGGATAAACGATGTTAGCGAGACTTCTACTCACCATAAACTGTCTTTAGAAAGGTTTATGTTGTTTCTTGTCGGTATCTATGCCAACGCGCTGCATCATGCTAGGCTGCAGGGTTCGATCCCAGCTGCAGAAGGTTGCCTTGGTTTTGACAGTGGTATTGAGAAGCCGACCGTCAATAGAGCAATGGCAAATTACTGGACGTACACTTGCCTACAAAAACCACAACAGCCAAAAATAAAAATAAAAATGCTGGGGTTGGTTCTGCAACGTCTTGTAATGGATCCGCAACTAACTTTTGACTCACTACAAACTGCTGATTGTAGCTGCGTTAAAAACAAAATTATGTCTAAAAAGAGGGCGAGAGAATGAGACGTGGAGTGAGAGAAAGTGTGTATGAGCGTGTGTGTCTTCAAATGTTTGGTATGAACAGGCTGAGGGCTTATGGTCCACTGTGATACTGATTTCATTAATATAGCGACACTCATAAATGTAAATCACATACACTGGACTGCAGGTTGCTGTGGTAATTCTAGGCACGTCCTCATAGAACTGTTATACGGTTGAGCGGGCTTTCTTGAATCTACTTCTAACTTTTGGGATTATAGAAGTAGGGCAAAAATATTAGTGAACGTACAGCCCGACCGAGAGACTGTAGTTCCATCCCACCAACACACACTCACACACACACTCGCGCGAGCACACCTGGATAGTAGGCATATCAGTGCAGTATATGGCGGATGATCTCCAGATGGGTGCATTGGACGCGGGACATCTTGCTTGTGATAGAGAGGTTTTCAGGAGGGTTTATTTGGGAGCATGGTTCTGCAAAGGACAGGGTACTGACTGACCGAACGAGCTGCGTGATCTCTAGGCGTGGTGTCCGCCTCGAGTGCTAGAAGTTCCAGGTTCAATCCCCGGTAAGGGCAGGGATTTTTTCGCTTAGATTTGGACTTCATGTAATTCTCTCTGGTCTCTGGGTAGTGAGATCAGACGACCTATGCATTGTTCTTCTTCTTTTGTCAAAATCTGCTTGTGCCGCTAGGCGTCGCAGTCTATCAGATGATCGGCAACCGAGCCAGGGCGCGCTCAGTCGCTTCAAATGCCGTGATGTTATGAAGTCTCAAGTTGCCCGTGACTCCTTCAATCCATATTCTTCTTGGTCTTCCCCTGCCTCTTGGTGTTTCGATTTTCATGTTGTATGCTCTTGATGCTGGCATCGTTGGTTCCATTCTCATTAGGTGACCAAACCATTTCATTCTTTGCTTCTCAATAAATTTAACGATGGGTATGGTTCCAATAGTTCTTGTAATCACATCGTTTCTCACTCTGTCTCTTCTGGTTTTATTCGCAGCCATTCTCAAACATCTCATTTCACAGGTGGTTAGTCTTCTCTCGTGTTCTTTTGTTAATATCCAAGTCTGACATTGATAACCTAATGTCGGTATAAAGATTGTATTTATAATTTGTCTTTTTATCTCAGCTGGGACAGCAGGGTGTTTTAAAATTGGGGCAACCTGGTATGCGACATTGTTGGCTTGTTGGATTCTTGCTTCGATCTCTCTGTCTATTTTACCATTGGATGTAAAGATACTTCCCAGGTATTTAAATTCTTGCACTTGTTTTAGGCTGTGATCTAGAATCTTTATGTCGATGGTCTGTTGCTCTCTACTTATGCTCATGACTTCTGTCTTTTCAGTATTGATCTTCATATGATGCTTGAGGCAACTGTCGTGTAGTAGGTTTATGTGGTCTTGCAGCTGTTTACTATCACTGGTGCATTGTTGCGTACGTTAAAAAAATTACTTGGCAGTTAGAAATCGAAAAGAGTAGCCAAACGGCGCTGCCCGGGCAAAATTTGGAGTCGAAAATTTACCAAAAGTATTTCAGGATCCTCGCTGGGGCTACAAAGCCTGTGCACTGTGCTGAGCTTCTTCGGACTCTGACTTGAGTTAGAAGAAGAACGGAGCAATTATGGATTACTACATGTGTGCCATGATGTTGGTAAGTTGTTCAAACCTCTAACCTGACTGACTGATTTTCCTGCATAGCATACTTTTTTTTTTTTTTTAAATAAAGAAATCTGGCTTTCCCTAATGGCCGTGACCACCGTGTATATTTCCACTTTGAAAGTAACGCATTTGTGACTTTTCCCTTTTGAATCTTCAGTAAAACGACCGAGAGTGTTAAAAGCATAAGAAAACAAATTGATGAGTATTAAATGGGTTTGAAGAAAAAGCTTAGCACAGTGCACAGGCTTTGTAGCACTAGCGAGGATCTCTTTCTCTTTCTTTCTGTGTGTGTGTGCGCGCGCGCGCGTGTGTGTGCGCGCGCATTTTTTTCTCCTCTTCGTGTTCACCAGCTGTAAACTCTGGCGGAAAGTTCTGGTTGTTCATCCACTTTTAGACTGCAGACCTGTTCCAGAACCTGAGTGTTGCGACTGCATCCATTTTACAGATCTGACTCATATATGCAGACTGCTGGTTCCTTGCCTCTCAGGCAGATGCACTCCGACTTCGAAGTAAGCTCCCAATTAGTTGACTCCTATGACATGCTTGTGAGGAGACAGTGGGTCTACCCCCCCCCCCTCCCAATAGGGCAATGGGACCTACACAGGAAGTGTGTATGCATGACTGTGTGTTAACAGTCATAACCCCGCCATAATATTTTTCACAACCAGCATTTAAAAAAAAAAAGAATAGCCCGAGTTAAACTCTAACATTTGATATAGTAACTCAACAAAGTTAACAAGATCTTCAAGTTGTCACATATGTGTCTCAATCCATAACGCTCTCTCTCTCTCTCTCTCTCTCTCTCTCTCTCTCTCTCTCTCTCTCTCTCTCTCTCTCTCTCTCTCTCTCTCTTTCTATTAATATTAACTATGAAATTATGTAAGAATGAATAAATGAATGCGTGCACAATTCTTAACTCTATGAAACTGAAGTTTGTTCGTTCGTTCTCTCTCTCTCTCTCTCTCTCTCTCTCTCTCTCTCTCTCTCTCTCTCTCTCTCTCTCTCTCTCTATTAATTCTCTCTATTCAACTATGAAATGATGTACGAATGAATAAATGAATGCGTGCACAGTTCTTAACCCTTTGAAACTGAAGTTTGTTTGTACGTTCGTTTTCTCTCCCTCTCTCTCTCTCTGTGCCTATTACACAATTATACATCCCCCGTACGTTTTTTACAGTCAGCACGTAAACAGAAACTAAACACACGGAGTAAGGGAATCTGTAACTTTTTAAACTGTAACACAACAAAGTTGCTTTGGTCGTCTTAAATCTATCATTTATGTGCGTCAGTCAAAAGCAATGTTTCTTTCTCCTGTCTATTTTTCTCCTTAGCACCATCTCTTTATCCCTCATCTCTCTCTCTCTCTAAGCGTGTGTATATGTGTGTACATGTGAATATGTGTGTGTTTATAGTGTATGTGTGTGTATTTATCTAAAGAACCCTTTCCGCGCCTTTAGGCGTCTTGGGTATATAGGGTCAGACCTAGATTTTATAGGCCAATCGGCATTTGGTAGGCCAGCATCACGCCTTCCGCCTTTACTTCCCAGGACCGCACCTGGTACCCACTTATGGCTGTGTGAACCTGGAAGCCAAGTCCGGCTCCGTCAGAACCCGAACCCACGACCTTCCGATCTGTAGGCGAGCGTCTAGTCGCTAGACGACTGCGGCTCCTTGATAATATATTTCCTATAATGCTTATAGACAGCATTCCGAAAAAAAAAAATAATGGAGGTGTAACATTACAAGTGTCAGATCTGTGGCTAAGTCGATGTGAACGCTTCGTAGTGCCGGGGTGCCGGGTTCGATCCTAGCTGCGGGCCGTGCGCCTTGCGTTGGTTTCGGCAGTGGTATCAGGGGGCCGACCGTCCAGTAGCCATGGCAAAATACTAGACGTAAATTTGCCTAGAGAAACCACACAACAGGCAGGGGCTGCTGGGGTTGGTTCTGCAACGCAACTAACCTAGCATTACAAGTTGTAACTATAGTCGGCTTTTAAAGCACATCTTCAGTCTGCACGTGTCAATCTCTCTCTCTCTCTCTCTCTCTCTCTCTCTCTCTCTCTCTCTCTCTCTTTGCGTGAGTGTGCATAAAAAAACTAATGCGAGTTAGGGAAAGATAGAACTAGCACCATTATAAGATTTCCATTTGTAACACACAAAGTTACACAGATCTTCAAGCTGGTATATATGTGTCTCAATCAGTCGCTGTGTGTGTGTGTGTGTGTGTGTGTGTGTGTGTGTGTGGGCCTGTAACTCAGTCACACACACACACTACATTTTTTACAGTCAGCCTGTCAAAATAATGAAAATTACCCGAGTTACAAAAAGCTGTAATATTTGAAGTTGTAACTCAACAAAGTTACAGACACATACACATATATAGTTGTCATCTATCTTCAGTCAAAATCCCCCCCCCCTCTCTCTCTCTCTCTCTCTCTCTCTCTCTCTCTCTCTCTCTTATCTCTCTCTTCGTGAACCTTTCACTGTGTGCGTATTTGCCTGTTAAGACAGTCATACATCCACCTAAATCTTACAGTCAACATTTGAAAATAAAGAAAACAATTTGAGTCAGAGAAAGATGGAAACCGCTGTAACATTTCCAAGTTGTAACAAAACATACAAAGTTACACAGATCTCCCAAGCCGTGACGTAACAGTGCCAGGTCCTGGCAGAGTGTGCGAGCTTCCCGGCATGCCCCCGACAACCCCACCCGTCAGTTTCTGTGTCTATGTGTGTTCTCAGTGTGTCTTCTCAAATGTCGGCACCTACACACTGTCCGGCTTCATGTTCTCTATTGTGATATTCCTCAAAGGGCAGTTTTTCTGCGCCCGGTTGCCTGTATAAGGGCGGGGGGCGCCTGTGTCGGTGCGGGGAAGATTCTGTTATTTATTCCTTTTATTGTTGGATTTACTCTGTCAAACTGGCGAAGATTGCAGCCGTTGTTGATAGCATTAGCATGGATTGCTTTCGTCCCCGGCAAAGAGGCGACGATGAAGACGATAAATTAAGAAAGGAAGCTAATAAGAAAATAGAAAAACAGCTTGCCAAAGACAAATTATTATACAGGGGTACACACAGATTGTTATTGTTAGGTAAGTATGGAAACGGGTTGAGACATTGACTCAAGATAACCTAAAAAAAAAAAAAGCCATTTATAAATAGACCAGTATCCCGTTTCTAATGCGTTTTCTTTCTGGTTTTTCTATTAAAAGGTGCTGGGGAATCAGGAAAATCGACAATTGTGAAGCAGATGCGTATTTTGCATGTCAGTGGATCGTTTAATCCCGAGTAAGTTGTGCATTTAAACATTTCTCCTAACTTTGTCTTAACTGACAACCCTATCGTGTATTATGTATGCCTGAATGATTCCAATTGAGTGCTACAGAGGGGGAGTTAGTATACCAGTGTTGTCATGTGTAACCATCTTTTGGCAATGTTTTTGGTACCTCAGTCATTTTCTTATTTTTAATTCAATTCCAGAGAGAGGAAGCAAAAAATTGAGGACATTAAAAAGAATGTTCGGGATGCTATTCTGGTGAGTAGAATTTATTATTAGTCCTGTTCCCCCCTAGGGATTAGTCCATTATTCCAATATGGCGGATTGCATAGTTTCGTGTTCCTATTAAATCAGTTCAAATGTATTGAATACATTCTTGTACTGGCTACGACAATAGCGGGAAGATAAAGACACTTTAACTTCAAAAATCCCCTAACTTTACCTGGTTCTTCATATATTCTTTAAAATCTGCCACCCGGTCTTGTTTTAAACGAACTTTTCCTCTTACAATGTCCTTTTAAGGTCACTCACTATATAAGTGAAGAATCTTCCAAAACATATTTGGCAATGATCGGATCATGTATATACGGAAAAAAGTCACCCAACCGTATCTCATTCAGGGTGATATAATCATATATGTTCTGTTTTCCTGTTCAGTTGCATTGAACCCGAAAGGCTATATATAAGAGCAAGGTTTTGACTTGCCTGTTAGTGTTAGATAAAAGTACTCTTAACATGCAATGGAATTACAATATTCATCATCATCATCGGTTGTCGTCATACTGTTCCATGGCTGTTATATGCACACAGTGCTTTCATTCTAGTCCCTCACTCCACTCTATCGTGTTCAGTCCATTCCATATCATACATGGAATCCATTCCAGCACCTTTGGCTTCTTTCCGTAGGGTGTGTATTTTGGTTTCTCTTATCCTACGCCAGGGCTATTCACTGGCGGCCCACGGGCCAAATCTGGCCTGCGGAGGCCTAGCAAGTGGCTCACGAATCATTGACATTTGTATTGTATTAGTAATTATTCTATGCTGGAGCTCGGGTTTCTGGACCCTGACTATCCATTTTTTCAAAATTCTGACACCTGACTATCCATTTTTTCAAAATTCTGACCCCCGACTATCCATTTTTTCAAAATTCTGACCCCTGACTATCCATTTTTTCAAAATTCTGACCCCTGACTATCAATTTTTTTTTTCAAAATTCTGACCCCTGACTATCCATTTTTTCAAAATTCTGACCCCTGACTATCCATTTTTTTAAAATTCTGGCCCCTGCATAAACTTAGTTAAATAGCCCTGTCCTTTGCTGTCATTGCCGCACTCCATTTGTTTCCAATTGCAGTGCCTATTTGTGATCCCCTGTCCATTTTCTCTTCACTATGTGTCTAATTTATTAGCATCATATTTTTCTTATAACTGTTCATACAATAGGTTGTCCAGTTATGTCATTTTTCTTGAACTCATCTAAATATTCATAGTACAATTTAAGTCTTATATCATAAACCAGACAGGTGTAAACAGTGCAAATTTAAAACAACAGTGCAAATTGAAAACAGTAATTCAGATTGAACAATTGTATTTAAAAAAAAAAAAAATTATAGAATATATAAAAAAACAAATATATATTGTGAGAACTCAATGAACTCTGTACATCCCAAATATAACCCTGAGGGTTGAACATGGTATTTTTGTGAAAATTACTGCCATTTGAAATTATCCAGTTTAATGTTCATTAGTCAGTCTTTTAAGGGAGTGGAGAAGGCAGAATGGAGATTACAGACCAGAGAGTGACAGCATAAACAAACGCAAAGAACAAACATCAATTTTTTGACTGAACAGTACACTGTGGTCTTCGAGCACACCTGTACAGGATAGGCATAAAAGAATCTGCTGCCTGTGATTGTGGAGCAGAAAGACAGACCCCTGAGCACATACTGCAGTACTGTCCTTACCTCTCCCAGCAAAGACTGTGGATCTGACCCAGGGGAGCCACATTGCAAGAGAAGTTGTGGGAACTGGTGTCGACCTTAAACGCACAATTCTATTTGTGACCCAGACGGGACTCAATGTTTAGCATGACTGATGTCGAACACACAAAAAAAAGACATTTTTATTAGTGTAGGTAATATTGCAGTATGGAATTGTTCGGTTTGGGTTAGGCTCAGAAAGCTTATAGCCTAATATAGATCTTCCTAAGGCACTGATGATGCTGGTGGAAACTGTAAAACTGATGATCACCGATCACTTTAAATATTCCCAAAGATGATAATACAGTATGATTATTGTAATTAAAAAACAAATAAAAACACTGTATGATTATCATAATTAAAAATAATTATACTTAAAATATATTAAACCTAATAATCTACACTCTTGCAGTCTTTTAGAATTAATACATAATCTGTAAAATATTAAATAACCAAAAATAATTGACCAGCATAATATCTTGTATTGAAAACTTTAAATCCACTCTTCTTCTTCTTCTTCTTTTTCTTCTTCTTTGATCCTTGTGTCAGAAAACTTACATCAGGAGGCCGGTAGTTTTTAGAAAGCTATCATGCAGTCCATATCCTCTCATGTACCATACAGCTTTGTCTCCATTATGGTTGGAACAGGCCACATTGCGTCCCTGTTGTCAGCATACAGTTGACAGTATTGGAGCACATGCTCAGCATTTTTGGGTGCCACGCTGCAGGGACATGTCTTCGTGTTTTCTACACTGAAAAAAATCCTACTGATAACCAAGATGAGTTGAACAGGATATCATTGTTTAAACTACCACTACACCTACTGCCTATCAGAGAGCTGCTATTTGCAGATGATGCTGCAATTACTGCTCAATTAGACCAGGAACTGCAGTGTTTACTGTCTGAATTTGCACATGCATGATGTGAATTTCAACTAAGTCAGCAAAACAGAAGACAAAAATAATGGTGCAAGGTGTTAATGATAGACCTGCCCTTTACATTGGGTGTAAAGAGCTGGAGACAGTTGACTATTTTACATATCTGGGATCCATGGGGAGGATCTGCATGGTCTTGAGGCAAGGCGTCCACCTCGATTGCTGGATGTCCCGGGCTCAAGCCCTGGTGAAGGCTGTAATTTTTTCACATGGACTTCTACTATTTCCCCTGATCTCTGGGTAATAGAATTGAACACAAGTGTGTATTGTTGCATAGGTACAAAATGCCTTGGCAGATGGAAATAAAAGAGTAGCACTGTCCAGGCAAAATTTGGAGTTAAAAATACCTAAAGTATTTCAGGATCCTCACCGGTGCTACAGAGTTTTTGCACTGCGCTGAGATTTTTCGGACTCAGGCTTGAGTCAGAAGTAGAACGGAGCACTTATGGGTTACTACCCTTGTTCCGTAATGTTGATCCGTCATCTAAACCTAAACCTAAGTGTTCTCATATCTGGTATTTTTCCTCAAGTGGTAAGAATACTGAGCTCTGTCGCAGAAGACCCAAGTTCAGTCCTCCGTGAAAGATGGACATTTTTTCTGTCGGGGGCAGAAAGGAAAATCCTAACCTGCACAGTTTGTGGCGACTACACTAGTCATGCAGCCTTAATCCTGCCACCCTGAGAAAGCTAGTTTCAGACCTTTTACAGGTGTTTGGTGACTTTATGTTTTTGGACAATAGCCAGCATGCTTCTATATATAGCTTTAGTACTAGTTGCCACTGCATAGTCTGCATATGTCATATGTCAATCTTCATATGTATGACTGCATTAAAAAAAAAGTTGTTGAGTTATTATCTGGGGTGTTAAATAAAATTTGTGTGTGGTTATTGTGACATCATAAATAAACTTTTGATGACCTCAATCTATGCTCAGCTATTACTTCTCTACTACACATTTTGGTGTCTTCTGTTATAATTAAATAAGAAGTATATGTTTTTGGTAGTGACAAAAAAAGTCATGGGAGGGTGGTGGCTAAATGCTTATCTAGCCGCCTGTATTCTTGGGTTCGAATCCTCATCAAAGCAGACTTTTTTCAATATTGACCTTGACTGCGAGATCAGGCCAGCCTACAGTGGTGGCAAAGTAAAGTCCAGGGAAATAAAGGTGGCCAGCGTGACATTGAACAAATCACCCATTTACTGCTTGTTGGTCCATAAAATAATAAGTAATCTAGCATCATTTATCTCATGCACTAGTGACCTGAAAAGGGTAATTTACTTTAACTTTAAAAAAGTATATGTTAACTTTAGGATCTGCCCTGGTGTAGTGGCTAGGGTTTGAATCTGAATGGAGCCAGACTTTTGTTTTTGTTTTAAAATGCTCTGGCTCCCAGGTCAACCCAACCTCAAATGTATACCAGGTTAAAGTCCTGGGAAGTAAAGGTGGCTGGTGTGATGCAGACCACATCTAGTGCCGACTGGTCTGTGAAATATAGGTTGAGCCCTATATGCTCAGTATTCCTGAAGGCATAGACAAGGTTCCTTTATTTTAATTTACATATGTTTACTTTACTTTTACTTTGTTTGTTTGTTCATCCATTACTCGTGATGAGAACCATTCTTTCTTTTATTTATCATGAAACTATATTTGAATTTTGTGAGTTCGGAGATAACTTATAAACCCAATACAGGCGAGGACCATTCTTTCTTTTATTCATCATGAAACTATATTTGAATTTTGTGAGTTCGGAGGTGATTTATAAACCGAGTACATGCCCGGAAGGATCTAGGACAATGAGGGCAGGAAACAGTGTCTACACATAGAGACATTTTACTTTAACTTTTTCAGTACCAGAGGATTTCACATAAGATACCAAAATGATGAAATAATCATGATACCTAATGCTGAATGCTTTACTTTTAAATTGACAATATACATAGTTGTAGTGACCATTTAGAGAAGCCAGATTTTTCTAGTATGTTCTGATCAAATGGTAAAAGAGAGCATGTTATGCTTTAGAGGGGAATCAAGGTGTAAATTGTTCACGAGAGTTGAAAAAGTATATTTACTATACTTTTACTTTTTTGTTTCTTATTATACTGTCAAAGTTATATGTATAATTTGTCTTAGAGTTAGTGAACTGTTTTATCAGGGTAATCAATCATTCTTGTTCAAAACAGTCTATAACAGGAGCTATGAGCACATTGAACCCACCAGTAGTTCTGGAACATTCTAGTAATAAAGCCAAAGTGGATTACATTCAAGACAAAGCCAGCCATACAGACTTTGATTACCCTCCGGTGAGTGCTGCTTCTAATTCTCCTACATTTGCCCTTAAAAGAGTGGTTAGCACATTTTGTTTTGGTTTACAGCTAGCTTGGGAGATCTGCGCCTTTCAACCCAACACATCAGGTTTCAGCAAAACCTCAGTAGATTGCATTTTTTTGATGTGCTTTTTAGGGAGGTAGTGGGTCTGTTCTCTCCCCCTTCCCCCCTCTCCCAAATGGGAGGAAGGAACCCACATAGAAAAGATGAGTATTGATTGTTCTTGTATCTTGAAGTTAAAAAACACATTGGTGTTACTATTTCCTGTGGAAAGTAAACTTTGAAGTTGGTTTTGAACAACAGATCAACATTATAGCACATGAGTAGTAACCAATAAGTGCTCCGTTCTACTTCTAACTCAAGCCTAAGTCTGAAGAATCTCAGTGCAGTGCAACAAATCCGTAGCACAGGCGAGGATCCTGGAATATTTTGGGTAGATCTTTTAACTCTAAATTTTGCCAGGGCAGCGCCGTTAGGCTACTCTCTTCGATTTTTAGCTGCCAAAGGATTTTTTTAAATGTGAGCAACAGTACACACTGGCGTCCGATCTTACTACCCAAAGACCATGGGAAATTACTAGACCTCCACGTGAAAAAAATCCTAGCCTCCATCGGGGCTAAAATCCAGGACCTCTAGTACTCGAGGCGGACACCATCCCTTAAGACCACTCAACCCCCAAAATGTTGAAGTAAACAAGGCAGGCTGAGTGAGGGAACCTGCTGCCTGAGTAACATATGTTCTTTAAAATCTGTCCATGCTTTGTGCTGTGGACAGATGGAAGCATTGAAAGGTGCCACCAGTGTAGCTGGAATGTGAGAGCACATGATACAATAACTGTTCAAGCCTGTGGAAACTTGATTTAGTGATATGTTTGTAAAAACTTGATGGTGCTATATGCGTATGGAAACTTGACTGTGCAATGTGCTATGTGTAGATAAAATTGAGCGTGTGCTATATGTGTGGAAACTTGACTGTGCTATGTGTTCGTGGAAACTTGAGTGTGTGCTGTATGTGTGTAGACACTTGTGTGTGTGTGCAATATATGTGACAACTTCAGTGTGCTATATGTGTGAGAACTTGAGTGTGCTATATGTGTGGAAACTTGAGTTTTCTATATGTGTGGAAACTTGACTGTGCTATGTGTTCGTGGAAACTTGAGTGTGTGCTGTATGTGTGTAGACACTTGTGTGTGTGTGCAATATATGTGACAACTTCAGTGTGCTATATGTGTGAGAACTTGAGTGTGCTATATGTGTGGAAACTTGAGGGTGCTGTACATGTGAAAACTTGTGTGTGCTATATGTTCAGAAGCTTGAGTATGTGTAATATATATGGGGAAACGTGAGTGTGCACTCTATATACGGAAACTTGGGCGCATGTTAAAGGTGTGGAAATTTGAATGTGTTATATGTGTGGAAACTCAAGTGTGGGCTATGTGTGTGGAAACCTAAGTGTGTGCAATATGTGTGGAAGTTTTAGTGTGTGCTACATGTGTAAAATCTGAGTGTGCATTATATGTGTGGAAACTTGAGTATATGCTGTTAGTGTGGAAACTTGAGTATATGCTGTATGCGTGGAAATGTGAGTGTGTGCTGTGTGTGTGATAACTTGATTGTGCTGTTTTGTGGAAATATAAGATGCTGTATATGTGAAGACTTGAGTGTGTGTGAAATATATGGAAACTTGACTGTGCTATGTGTGGGAAAGCTTCAGTGTGCTATATATGTGGAAACCTAAGTGTGTGCTGTATGTGTGAAAACCTGAAATGTGTAGAAAGTTGTGTGTGTTTGTATGTGTATGGGGCAACCTGAGCATGCTATACATATGGCAACTTGAGTGTGTGCTGTATGTAGCAAAAATGGAGTGTGTGCTGTATGTGTGGAAACTTGAGTGTGTGCTGTATGTGTGAAAACTTGAGTGTGCTGTCTATGTGAAACTTAAGTGCTATATATGTGGAAGCTTGAGTGTGTGCAATATATGAGGAAACTTAAGTGGGTGCTATATATGGGGAAACTTGAGTGTGTGCTATATATGGGATAACTTGAGTGTGTGCTATATATAGGGAAACTTGAGTGTGTGCTATATATAGGAACTTGAATGTGTGCTGTGTATTTATAAAGTTGAGTGTGTGCTTTATGTTGGGAAACTTGAGTGTGCTGTATATGTGAAGACTTTAGTGTGTGCTATATATATGGAAACTTGACTGTACTATGCGTGTGGAAGCTTCAGCGTGCTGTATATGTGGAAACTTAAGTGTGTGCTATATTCGTGAAAACCTGGCTGTGCTATATGTGGGGAAAGTTGTGTGTGTTTGTATGTGTATGGGGCAACCTGAGCATGCTATACATATAGCAACTTAAGTGTGTGCTGTATGTAGCAAAACTTGGGTGTTTACTATATGTGTGAAAACTTTAGTGTGGGATATATGTGTAGAAACTTGAGTGTTTACTATATGTGTGAGAAAACAGGAGAGTGCTGTATGTGTGGAAGCCTGAGAGTGGGCTATATGTGTAGAAACTTGTGTGCGCTATATATGTGGAAACTTGAGTGCTGTTTGTATGACAACTTGATCATACTTTATTTGTGGAAACTTGAGTGCAAATTGTATGTGTGGCAACTTGATTATGCTATATGTGTGGAAACTTGAGTGTGCTGTATGTTGGAAAGCTTGCATATGTGCTATATGTGTGTAAACTTGAGTGTGTGCTGTATGTGTGGAAGTTTCAGTGTGTGCTATATGCATGTTGAGAAACATGAGTTGTGCTATATATGTAGAAACTTGTGATTTGTGCTATATGTGGAGACTCTAGTGTGTTTCTACTTTCTGTTTCAGATATTTTATGAGTACACAGAAATTTTATGGAAAGACAAAGGTGTACAAACAGCCTTTGAAAGATCCAATGAGTACCAACTTATCGACTGCGCACAGTAGTGAGTATAATAACTCTGTGTGTTTAGCATGTGTTGTTTGTTGTTGACAGTTGTTCGCTGTGGATCATTGTTCCCTGTTGAGCATTGTTCCTTGTGGATCATTGTTCCCTGTTGAGCATTGTTCCTTGTGGATCATTATTCCCTGTTGAGTATTGTTCTCTGTGGATCATTGTTCCCTATTGAGCATTGTTCCTTGTGGATCATTGTTCCCTGTTGAGCATTGTTCCTTGTGGATCATTGTTCCCTGTTGAGCATTGTTCCTTGTGGATCATTGTTCCCTGTTGAGCATTGTTCCTTGTGGATCATTGTTCCCTGTTGAGCATTGTTCCCTGTGGATCATTGTTCACTGTGGATCAGTGTTCCCTGTTGAGCATTGTTCCTTGTGGATCATTGTTCCCTGTTGAGCACTGTTCCCTGTGGATCAGTGTTCCCTGTTGAGCATTGTTCCCTGTGGATCATTGTTCCCTGTTGAGCACTGTTCCCTGTGGATCATTGTTCACTGTTGAGCATTGTTCCTTGTGGATCATTGTTCCCTGTTGATCATTGTTCCCTGTGGATCATTGTTCCCTGTTGCACATTGTTCCCTGTGGATCATTGTTCCCTGTTGCACATTGTTCCTTGTGGATCATTGTTCCCTGTTGCACATTGTTCCCTGTGGATCATTGTTCCCTGTTGCACATTGTTCCTTGTGGATCATTGTTCCCTGTTGAGCATTGTTCTCCACTAAGCATTCTTCCATGTTGTGTGTTGTTTATTCTTGACAGTTGTTTCCTGTTAAGCATTGTTTCTTGTGAACCTGTGCTCCCAGCAGTATTGTTCAGTGTTGTGTTTTGTTTATTCTTGACAATTTTTCCCTGCTGAGCATTGTTCCCTGTAGAGCTTTATTCCTTGTGGACTATTGCTCCATGTTGAGCGGTGTTTGTTTTTGATGTTCCCTGTTGAACTTTATTCTCTATTGAGCATTGTTGTCTGCAGCCTTTTTCTGTATTTAGTATACAGTGTGATTTTCAGAAAATGGTAGTTGATCGGTCTGATGCCATATGGAAAAAAATTGTATGTATACTGCCTACTTTCATCAACAACAAACCACAGTAATGAATGAATAAAAAATTGACATCCCTGTTTGAGTTCCAGGGCCCTTAATAATGAAAACAAGAATAGACCCACTGCCTGCCAAATTGCATGTCTTAAGAGTCGACTAATCGGGCGCTTCCTTTGAAGTCGGAGTGCATCTGCCTGAGAAGCAAGGAACCAGCAGTCTGCATACAAATGAGTCGAATCTGTAAAATGGATGCACATGCAACACTCAGGTTCTGGAACAGGACTGCAGTCCGAAAGTGGATGAACAACCAGAACTTTGCACCAGAGTTTACAGCTGGTGAACGAGAAGAAGAAGAAGAAGAAGAAGCAGAAAGAAGAAGAAGAAGCAGAAAGAAGAAGAAGCAGAAAGAAGAAGAAGAAGAAGAAGAAGCAGAAAGAAGAAGAAGAAGAATAAAGATTGACATCGCTGCACTCAGGACATTGCCAGACATGCTCCATCTCCTTGGGTTCTTGAATCAACTCAACCCAACCAGTTACATCTTCCGAGAAACTCAGAAGAGGAAATCGGCTCTTACGACATGATTGTTGGGGTGGGGTGGGGGGGGGGGTGTTCAGTGGTTCTGTTTACTACAGTGTGGCTCCACAAGGATGAGATAATAGTGTTATATTGTGCTATAGGGAAGTATGGAAGTTGTAGTTAAGGCTGCTCAGAATCAAATTGCAAGATAGGATCCCAGACATTGTAGTTCTTGATAGAGCAAACCCGCCTAGCATCCACACGATGCTGAACAATTATCAGCTGGCCCACATGCCAGACTATCGCCTCCCAGAGAGAGTATTTTATGGCGAGCTCCAGTAAGGGAAGATGTCACAGGGCGGACATAAAAAGCGCTTTAAGAACAATCTCAAAAGTGGTCTCAGTTCTTTTGGCATCAGCACAGCGACGTGGGAGGCTGCTGCACAGGACGGTTCTGAATGAGATAACAGTGTTATATTGTGCTGTCATCATCATCATGTAGCAGAACGTGGCTCTCATCACAGTCTGCCGGAAAGAAACTCGGTCTCTTGCCAGTTTTCCCACCTCATGTACTTTAACACTCAAGGAGTCACTTATATCTTGTGCCAGTCTTCGTGATGATCGGCCCCAGCGCCTCCTTCCTGGTACCATGCCTTCTGCTATAATTTTTTCCAATCCGTTGGGGCGCTTGATATGACCAAAATATTTCAGCTTCCGAGACAGGATGCTGTTTATTAGTCAATCTTCCTTGACATTCAGATCTTGTGCTGTAGGGAAGTATAATAGATGTAGCTTATGGCGATGGTCTCAGTAATGGCCATCCTCGTGCTAGGAACCGCCAAAGAGAAGATTGGTGCAGAATGTGGCAGATGATCTACAGTTGGCTGCACCAGACGCGGGACATCTTGCTTATGATCAAGAAGTTTTCTGGAGGGTTATTATGGGAGCAAGGTTCTGCAAGGGATATGATACTGAGGAGCAAGGTTCTGCAAGGGATATGATACTGAGGAGCAAGGTTCTGCAAGGGATATGATACTGACTGACTGACCGTGTTCTTGGTCTGCGTTGTTGTCTGCTTCCTTTCAGCTTTTGTGTGTGTAAGCAATTTTCATTCAAGTTTAGACAGAATACACAATAGTACAACGAGAGAGAGAGAGAGAGAGAGAGAGAGAGAGAGAGAGAGAGAGAGAGAGGGGGGGGGTGTAAAAACGTAAGCCACACACATAGATAATCGTCATCACCAAGTGCCTTACCGACTGGCGTGGGCGACCATGCTTCTCCACAATCCGCGATCCGCAACTGCATGTATCGGTTCGTGTACCGAAACTCTCCCATGCCGTGACAAAAAAGCTGTCAAGAATCTTCTGGCGCTGTCTTCCTCTGTTGCGCTGTCCACAGGTCTATCTTGTGTTTTACGCCCTTCTCCTCTTTGCATTGTATGGTATGGCGTCACAAGCCATTCTCTCTATGTTACCAAACCATCTAAATTGCTTGGTGTCTTTCTGTGTAATTTACATTTGGTTTCTGAGCCGTCTTCTCTTATGATCTAATTTATGATCTCTTCCGGTACCTCCTGCAACTATTCTCAGACGTCTCATTTACGTGGTTGCTAATAATCTGCTTGGTTCTGTGCCATCTCAGACATCTCATTTATGTGGTTGCTGATCATCTGCTTTGTTCTGTACCGTCTCATACATCTCATTTACGTGGTTGCTAATAATCTGCTTGGTTCTGTGCCGTCTCCGACATCTCATTTACGTGGTTGCTGATCGTCTGCTTGGTTCTGTGCCGTCTCCGACATCTCATTTACGTGGTTGCTAATAATCTGCTTGGTTCTGTGCCGTCTCAGACCTCTCATTTACGTGGTTGCTAATCATCTGCTGCAGCATACTCAAATAGGAAATATATATTGAAATTAAGATCTGCTCGTGTGGGTTTCTTGGTTCCATTGGGGGGGGGGGGGCAGAATAGATCTACTGCGCCCCTCCCTAACAAGCATTACGTCAAAGGCGATTAATTAGAAGTGTTTCTTTCTAAATCGGAGTGTATATGTCCGAGAAGCGAGAAACCAACAGTCTGTCTACAGATAAGCCAGATCTGTAAAACGGATATGCATTCAAACTGTAAAATGGATGTGCACTCAAACTGTAAAATGGATGTGCACGCAAACTGTAAAATGGAGGTACACCCAAACTTTAAAATGGATTCGCAGGCAAACTGTAAAATAGAGTTACACGCACACTTTAAAATGGATTCGCAGGCAAATGTAAAATGGATGTACACGCAAACTTTAAAATGGATTCGCAGGCAAACTGTAAAATGGATGTACACGCAAACTTTAAAATGGATTCGCAGGCAAACTGTAAAATGGATGCACACGCACACTTTAAAATGGATTCGCAGGCAAATGTAAAATGGATGTGCACGCAAAACTCGAGTCCTGGAACAAGTCGGAAGCCCAGGAGTGGACGAACAACCAGGACTTTCCGCCGGAGTTTACAGCCGGTAAAGTAAAGAGAAAAAAAGAAAAAAGACAATATGGAAATAAAACCACAATTACAATATATAAGACACGGTAAACTTTAACTAAACACGGATACACATATGTGAAGCGATAGACAGATTGTGGGGGGGGGGGGGATAGACAGATTAGAGAGCAAAGAGAAAGGAAAATGTCCCGTAATCCACTACCACAAGACGCGTGTGGCAGTCAGGCCGTTGTTCTGTCTGCCACTGCGTCCCTGTGCTGCCAACATCTCACCCAGGTGTCGCTTCTAACAGATTGAAGCTGCCTGCGATCCCGACAAAAATAGCTCTCCTGTTCACATGGCGATATATTTAGCCTTGCTCGTCAAAATAGCTTGTCAAAACGCAACGTTTTTTTTTTTTCCAGTTGGTTCCAAGAGATAACAAAAGTCGGGGCATGTTTTGTGTTTGGAATTCAACTATGTAGCAGGCGCTCAGTAACAGAAAACATGGGGGGGGGGGGGGATAGATCCGCTATGCATATTTGTAAGGGGAAAAGGGCCGAGGGGCTTACGGAGCCTAATCTTAGTTTAAGAGAATAATACTAGTAGTAATAATGTGTTGAATGGTGAACGAAGTTACAATTTTTAGAGTATTCGTCTTCTGTGTTGCAACATACGGATGAAAGTGGTGGACTTAGTCGTTAAGGAATTATATAGCTTCAAGTCCTTACGTCCTTTTCAGGACGTAATTTCTTGTTATTTGAAGCCACACTCTGGCTTTTGCCAGGGGCCGCAATATAGGCAGGCCATAAAAATGGCCAAAGGTCTGAACGCGGTTTCTGGGACCTCTCCACGGTGATCCTCATCCACATGGTGGCACGTTGTGTCATCGGGTGTTTATCACTTGTGTGATGTCCTGGTGGGGTAGAAAGTCACTCACTCACTCGTGAAGGAACAAGTAGGGGCTTCTGGGC